ATCGGGTGGGGCTGGGAACAGAGAGTGCCTGGGGGTAGCTTTCCTTCGGATGCCCCACCAGAGGAGGAGCTGGGTCTGCAGTTGAGGAAGGGCACCCTTGGGCTAAATATAACCTGGACTGGGAGGGAAGCTGTCCCAGGCAGCTGTCCCATCCTGCCAGTCCCATGGCACTTCCTGTGGCAGACTCGGGCTGTAACACTCGCTGCCTGAGCTTGGAGCAGGGATTTGGGGCACCCAAGAAGGGATCCTGCTCCCCAACATCTATCAGGCCCACTGCCAAGGCCAGGCTGTCTCAGTGCCCAGCTCGGGACGCCCAGCTCGTGTTGTGCCATGGTCCCATGAGCATCCCGAACCCGGGTGCTGCTGTAACATTGGTCTTAACTCCTTTACTCATCAGCAAAATGGGGTCCTATGGTCCTAGTCAGCCAGGTCTGGTGTCTCTGAAGTTGCATTTACAATACCTGTGGCCCCTCCCCCAAGGCAGCTTCTGTCCCAGCTGTTCTGTGGCTTGGGCTTTCCCAGGTCTCAGCACCTCCAAGTCAATTTAGGGACAGAGTAAATAAAGGCCAAGGGCACGGATGGGTTCAGGGGAGTGTTGTTCTGCCTCTTGCTGGCTGTGACTCTGGCCAGGTCACTGCCCCTCTCTTAGACTCAGTCTCCATTTCTGGACAATCACTGCATTCAGGGTGATTTTGAGGTCTCAGAGAGCCTTGGTTCAAAACTGGGTGTGGTGATGCACACCTGTAATCCCAACACTCAGGAGCTGAAGCAGGAGGATTGCTACAAATTCGAGACCATCCTGGGCTACAAAGTGAGCTCAAGGCCAGCCTGAACTGCATAGTGAGACCCGGTCTCAAAAAGACAAAAAATAAGAGACTTGGTTTAGAGGAAACATCCCAAACATGGCAGCCAGGCCAACAAAGGTCTTTACCCTTTTTGGAGGGGCTGGAGGCTCAGAGGAGAAGCAGGGAATGGACACAGACACTGAAACTCCTGAGAAATCCAAACAGGAGCCCTCTTGGACACCATAGGGGATCCATAAGTGGAGTATTTGCAGCTGATGTTGAAAGGGTCCCCATGTGCTCTGTACTGGCCAGTGGTGGGCTATGAAGGGCTATTGTGTGGCTGAGGGTGGGTGGGCAGGGGTGGAATGTGACCAGGCCCAGCAGACTGGCCATTGTGAGAGGGAATGTGCCGCGTGAGGCCTGACCTTTCCCTGTGCAGTAGGGGTTGGCGGGTTGGCATGCCAGGTGGGGGCCCGGAGGACAAGCCCAGCGGCAGGGGCCAGGACAGGCACCATCTCCATCCTCCCAGAGGAGCCTGGCAGGAGACACCTGCAGACTGACTCTGCTTCCTTCTCCCTGTGCTTGTGACTTGAGGCAAGTCCTCTTGGCCTCTCTAAGGGGACAAGGTCTTCAGTGATTAAGTAGAAGGTGATGGCCTTAGCACAAAATTGACAAATACTAATCATTCAATAACCATCAGTTAGTATTAATATTGGTTATTATACTTTTTTATTTTTTGTCTTTTTCTTTTTTATCGGTACCAGGGATCGAACTCACGACCACACACTTGCAAGGCAGGCGCCTATGCCGCTGAGCTAAATCCCCAGCCCCTATTGGTTATTATTCTTACTAGCCATATGTGGAGTCAGGGGAAAGTAGTACTTGGGATTGAGCCTGGGGCCTTCAAACTGAGCTATATCCTCAGCCTTTTTTTTTTTTTTTTACTTTGACACAGGGCAGGGTCTCTCTTTAAGTCATTGGGCTTCAATTTGCAATTCTCCTGCCTCAGTCTCCCAGACTGCTGGTATTACAGGCAGGTGCCACTGCACCTGGTAAAGGGTTGGAGCTTTGAGACAAATTCAAGCCCTAGCTCTGCCATGTCATCCCAAGGAAGTGACTGTCCTTCCCCTAGTTTCAGGTGTCTCCTCGGTAAGGGGCTCAATAATAGCCCAGACCTCATAGGAGTATTCTGAGGTCCTAATGCAATGATGCTGCTGGACACAAGGATGCTCTTAGTTAAAACAGAAGCAAGTACTAACACAGCACCTGCCACCACCTGCCACTTTACACCTGTAAACTCAGGCAGTCCCAGAACCTTGCTGTGAGGTGGGTGCTTGGCTCCTCCCCCATTTTATACTGTTCTTTATTGGCACTGGGAATGGGATCTAGGGCCTCCAGCACACTAGGCAAGCACTCATCCACTGAGCCATGCACCCAGACCTATTTTCCCCAGATCATAGACAAAGAAATGGAGGGACAGGCAGGGGGTATGTGGGAGCAGCCGTCATTACCTCCCAGAGAATTTGGTCCCTCAGTTTGCTGAGGGTGTTGCCCAATGGCTTTGTTCTTAGGTCTAGGAATCCATTTGGACTTTTTATAGTTTGTGATCTGGCTGTGTCCTCTGAGCTGTCTTCTGGACCTTGTTTTCCCTATTTGCACTAGGGGGCCAGGGAATTGGAAAAGCCCAGGGCAGCCAGGCACTTGGGAAGCCACTAGTAGGTTCAGCTGCTTAATACTGTGTGCATTCTTCTTAGAGCCCCGGACCCAGGAGGCCCCAGGAGCTGGAGGTGACCCTCAGGTGAGCGCTGCCTGGTACCACATGTCCCTCCCTGTCCATCCCTGGCCAGCCTGGAGCCTCATGCCCCGTATCTCCCCGGCAGGCAGCAAGACCTCGGCGAAAGGGCACCAGCCCTGCAGACAGCTGTACAGCATCGCGGGCTGGGCTCCTGGTTGGAGGGAGTACCTGTGCCCAGGCAGCGGTGAGAGGGCAGCTGGGGGCACTTTTCTCTTCCTGACGCCCACACTGACCTCCCTGGAGAGGCTGGACGCCACCTCTGAACTCTCCTGGCCTCAAGCCTTCATCCCTGACCCCACAGGCTCAAAGGCAGCTGCTCCATGCAGAACTGAAGCTGGTCCTGCAGCAGAAGGAAGAGCGGAAGCAGGAGCCAGGGGCCCACGAGACTCCCGGCAGAACCATGGAGGCCAGGAGCCGGAGTGCTGAGGTGAGTAGCCACTGGCCCTGATAAAGGCAGCAAGGAGACACTTCCCAGCTTCTCTGTGCCTCAGTTTTCCCATCTGTGAATTAGACCTGGTAATTATGAGGAGGTAAAATTTAAATTAACATATGTAAAGTGCTTAGTACAGTACATGGCACAGATTGAGACTCTACACAGTTAATTCACTGGATCATAAGTCGGAGTTACCATGGTGGTATATGCTTGGGAATATGCCAAGTGCTTGGTATATACACTTGGGAAGCTGAGATCAAGACCAGCTCCTGTAACCCCTACTTCTTCAGGGCATAGCCCACAATTACAGATTCCTTCCAGTATGCCCAGGCTACCCAGCTTTACAGTGGAGAAATGAGTCCAGAAAGGGCAAAGTGCTCCCCCAGCAACACACAGCACCTGGGATTCCTCGACAGATCTCAGGTCTTACTTCCTTCTCTGGGAAGCCTCCATGTGAATCTCAGTGCACTGCTGGCCGGGGGCCAGTCTGCACCATTTACAGTAAATACCAGGAATGCCATTTCTGTTGGCACACATTCATTCCCCACACACCCCCACCCGATTCCCTCTCCTGTGGGTGTTATACAGGTCTTGGGGTTATAGAGCCCACAATAGAGCACAGTCTCACACACATTCAAGGGGTTTGGGGAAGGGGGGCAGGGGTTTTTCTCACTCTCCATTCCCTCATCCCTCAGGGATTCAGGGTCCAGTCCTTTCCCAGGAGTTCCATCCTCGACATCACCCCTTGTTTTGCTATTAACTAGCCCCCCAAGTTGGGTGTGGTGGCACATATTTGTAATTCCAGCACTCTGGGAGGCTGAAGCAATAGGATCAAAAGTTAAAGCCCAGACTAGGCATTTTAGAGACTTAGTGAAACCTTGTCTCAAAAAACTTTTAAAAACAAAAATTAAAAAATTTTAGGGGCCAGGGGTTTAGCTCAGTAGGGTAAGCACCTGCCTGGCAAGCACGAGGTCTTGAGTTCAATCCCCGGTCCAAAAATAAAGGTTCTAAACTGGCTGTGGTAGCACATGCCTGTAATTCCATCACTCAAGAGGCTGAAGCAGGAGGACCACCTGGAGTTCCAAGCCACCCTGGGCTACATAGTGAATTCAAAGTCAGATTGAATTACATAGCCATACATTGTCTAAAAGAAAAAACAATTAAAAAAAAAAAACTTTAAACAGGCTCGGGGATATAGTTCAGTGGCACAGTGCTTGTCTGGCAAGTGCAAGATCCTGAGTTCGATTCCCGGGTCCAAACCCATCCAAACCAAGTCAAACCAAACCAAAAAACCCTTCAAACAGCTGTGGATGTGGCTCACTGCAAAGGCCCTGGGTCCAATCCCCAGTAGTGCTATATGTGTGTGTGGGTGTTTCCCCAATAACTCAATCCTGCCTTTCGTTTGTGAAGCACCCTAATTTGGAACCCGCCCCTCGGCCTGTGCTCTAGCATCCAGCTCTGAACTACTATCCCGGCCTCCCCAAGCGCCGGGGTCCCACGACATGGCCCCGCCACCAGGCTCCCTGGAGCCGCCCCCCCCCCCCCCCCCCGGCCCAGCCGCTGCAACTGCGGCCTGGGGCGTGGTGCACACGCCCACCGCGCTGTTTAACCACAGAGGGCCCCAGAGAGCGAGCCGTCAGTGCTCGCGCGTGCTTAAAAGGCAGAAGCCGGATGTGTGGCCCGGACGTCCTGCTTGGGTCGAGCCGAGGATCCTGTGTCCCGAGGGCCCGTGTAAGAGGCACTTTTTAAGCGCGATGGCGGGCTCGGGGCGACATCCAGTCCTGGCGCCCCTCGGCGACCCCTCGCCACCCTCCGCAGGAACTGCGGCGAGCAGAGTTGGTGGAGATCATCGTGGAGACCGAGGCGCAGACCGGAGTCAGCGGGATCAACGTGGCGGGCGGCGGGAGAGAGGGGATCTTCGTGCGCGAGCTGCGCGAAGACTCACCTGCAGCCAGGAGCCTCAGCCTGCAGGAAGGTGGGCGTGGGCGTGGGCGGGGCGACCCGCGAGGGTGGAGTTAGAAATGTGGCCACGGTCCAAAACAAGCCTGATTTGGGTTTATGGGCGTGGCTTAGGATTAGGAAGCAAGGTTAAAGGCTGGGGCGGGGTTTTATTGGTTTTGCGATTATTCAGAGCCTCCAGGAATTTTTTTTGGGGGGGGGAGGACAGAGGATCGAACTACGTGACCTTGCACTTGCCAGGCAGGCGCTTATGCCGCTGAGCTAAATCCCTGGCCCAGCCTCCAAGAATTTTCCCTGTTTGGATTTGAGTTAGTACTAACTTTCTGTTCGTGATCTTTCTATGCCTCAATTTCTTCGTCCTGACAATGGAATTACTAGTACTGATCTCATGTGGTCATTATGTAGATTAAATGAGACAGGATTTGAAAACAGCGGACAGCTAAACAGCACCAGGCAAAAACTGTATGTAAGTGCTAGTTAATGTTTGTGTTGGGCCAGGAAAAAAGGGCTGAGTTAGCAGTTTGGAGGGATTGAGGGGGAGAGTTTGGTAAATAACTGGTATTTTAGGAAACATGAACGAAGCTAATGTGATTTATTCATGCACCTTCTGCCTCAGACAATGAAGTGCTTGGAGTATAGCAGTGAACAAAATAGACAGCAGTTCCTGGATATATGGAGCTTACAATCTAATGGCTAGAGGCACATTTAAGCAACATCAGTATGTCATTTTTTAAAAAAAAGTACAACAGCTAGTAAATTAGAAGGCATATGTGCTGCAGGTGCCAGGAACAAAGCTGCATTTTTTTTGTCCTTTTTTTTTTTTTTTTTTTTTATTGGTACCAGGGACCAAACTCACCCTGCTTGCAAGGCAGGTGTTTATGCCACTGAGCTAAATCCCCAGCCCCTCAAAGCTGTATTTTTATATAAGGTAGGATAGGAAGAATGGAAAGAGCAAAGGAGGTAAGGGAGCACACTGTATGGAAGAGCATTCCCGTGGTGGGAACAGCCAGTGTAGACACCCCAAAAAGAGCAGTGGATGTGCAGTACAGCAAATAAAAAAAAAAGAGTAAGATATGAGGTCAGAGAGTTAGGGAAAAGGAAAGTTTTTGGAGGGTTTCATAGGCCGTGGTGAGTTTTTTTGACTTTTATTCTGTGAGGAACAAGACTTGGTCATGGGAACTGGGGCTGAGGCTCAGTGTAGAGTTCTTGCCTTGTATGCACAAGGTTCTGGGTTCAGTTCCCAGCACCACACACACACACACACACACACACACACACAAATTGGTCGTAAGGAACTGCTGCACTAACAGTAGACTGTAGGGGGCAGGCTTGGGAGCAGGGCAGTCAGCAAGGAAGCTACTGGATGGTGTTGGTAAAGAGAAGAATTCAGGGGCTGGGGATTTAGCTCAGCGGCATAAGCGCCTGCCTTGCAAGCAGGCAGTTCTGAGTTCGATCCCCGGTACCGATAAAAAGGAAAAAGACAAAAAAAAAAAAAAAAAAAAAAAAAAGAGAGAAGGATTCAGATTCTGAACAGACTTCAAAGGACATGTGGGGCAAGATAGAGACAGAAGTACGGTCTAGGATTCATCCAGGGATTTGAGACCTGCGGGTGGAGTTGCTAGACCTGCAGGAGGGGGCGGTGCTCATTTGGAGAAAGGAGTCCAGGTGTGCAGGTGTGGCTGTCTCGAATGAGAGGTGTCTGTTGGATGTGCAGGTGAAAGTGTGGAGGGGCAACTGACACACTGTCCACCCTGATACACAGGTATCTCTGGGTTCTGTGTTGGTGCATCCACCAAAACTGAAAGTATCCAGAGAAATTTATATTCCTACTGGACATGTTCAGACTTGTTTTTGTGCCCCTAAACAAGAGAGTATAACAGCTACTTACAAAATCTTCACACAGTATTAGCAATTATGAGTAACCTAGGTGGAGGAGAGGATGTGCATGATCATAGGCAGATATCGTGTTGTTTGCTATATGGGATTTGAGCACCTGCAGGTAGTAATGTCTGGGAGGACTTCCTGGCACCCTTCTGAGGAATCATTAATGAATCTAGAGTGCTTGGGAAGAGTGCTTGGCTGAACAAACACTGGGCAGTTGTCAGTAGACTTGTGATCCTTCAGCTAACTACTCAATCTGGAAGAGCTTCCTGAGAATTCCAAAATGGTGAGTGTTGTTAGAAAGAGTCCAAGCTCAAACCCATCCTGGATAATTATAGAAACTTATAGCTTGTCTCAAAATAAAAAGTAAAAAGTGTCGGGAGCTAGGTTTGGTGGTGCACGCCTGTGATCTTAGCACATGGGAGGCTGAGGCAGGAAGAATACCTGGAGTTTGAAGGCAGCCTGAGCTACTACATAAGTTCAAGGCCAGTCTGAACTACATATAGAGACCCTTTCTCAAGAAAAAAAAAAAAAAGGTTGGGGATGGCACCAGAAGCTAAATGTAGCAAGTGGGTGAGGTTGGGCAGATGCTGAGTAGTCCAAGCAGGTAAAGTCTGGTACTTGTCTATTGAGCTTAGCTCCCAGAGGTCACTGGCTGGAACCTTAAGAAGAGCAGTTCAGGTATGCGTTTGCGTGCGGGCAATGGGGTTGGAAGTGTCACTAAAGAAATGGAAATTATGCCAATGCATCTTGCCTGCAAGGAGAACAGATAAGATGCATCAGGAGATGGGGAGTGTGGTCCCACAGCCTTTCCGAAGAGAGAATAGCATGTTTGTCTGCCATGTGGATAATGCAGGAGAGAGAGGCAGTTGGTAAAGCGGCAGAGGGGCGACTTGCTGGGAGATGTCCTTGGGAAGGTGTTGCAGGGGTTGACTGAGCTCATCCCTGGGAGCCTGGAGCAAAGTGCCACCGGGGGAGATACAAAGATGCTGTGGGGTGTGCGAAGTTAACTTCTGATTCTGTTCTCTCAGTGAAGGAAACAAAGCCAATATCTAAACTGTGCGGGTGGATGAAGGGAATGGAAAGCTACTGGTGTGGCCCCAGTGGCACAGACCGGTTCTATGCCTCCTGCGGGGAGGGTCTTTGTTCTTAAGACTCTGGAACTTCACATCTCAGATCTTTGCTATGGGTGGGCAGGGCCTCTGCACCCTCCTTAAGGAAGTGGGCTGGACCAAGAGATGCCCACCCCATGCCACCTTCGCCTTGCCTTGCCTTGCTTGCAGGGGACCAGCTGCTGAGTGCTCGCGTGTTCTTTGAGAATGTCAAGTATGAGGACGCTCTCCGTCTGCTGCAGTGCGCCGAACCTTACAAGGTCTCCTTCTGCCTAAAGCGCACGGTGCCCACCGGGGACCTGGCGCTGCGGCCTGGGACTGTAGCCGGCTACGAGATGAAGGGCCCTCGGGCCAAGGTGGCCAAGCTGGTACGCGTGCTGAGCCCGGCCCCGGCCCTGGACTGCCCCAGCGATCCTGCCTCTGCGCCATGAGTCCCACGCCCCATACGTGGGCCTTGCCCTCTGTCTTGTCACTAACCTAATGCTAATGCCACCCTGTGTCCCTTGTTCTCTGCTCCTAAACTCCCTCCTCCCCAAGAACAGGATTCACCCTCCCCAGACTACGTCCCCCTCACCCTTCTTGGAGAGGCAACCCCACCATCAGATCCAGACGCACCTTGGGTACTTGGAACCAGGAAGGCCAGGTCCCCTCCTGAGTGCTACTCAGGTATTTCTGAGAACTCTGGACGATCTTTTCCTTCCTGGGTTTTGGTTTCTACAGCTCTACAAGAGTGTTGGAGGAATTCCTAGAGTGTTGGAGGAATTCCTAGATGGGAACCTAGACATTTAGGACCAGATTCCTACGCGCCCATTGATTCCTCATGGGTTTCTAAATGAGTGTCTTTGCCTTCCTGGGGTGAAATGACAGGCAGAAATGGGGGATTTTTTGGACCAAGATACTCTACCCAGCACTTCTCCCGCTTGATACAATGCCATACAGGGCTCTTCCTGTCCTCTCACAGCCTCCTACTATCCCACCGCCTCCTGCTTCTTTCCTCTCTCCCCAGAACATCCAGAGTCTGTCCCCTGTGAAGAAGAAGAAGATGGTGGTGGTGCCCGGGGCCCTGGGGGCCCCTACAGACCTGGCCCCCATTGACGTCGAGTTCTCCTTTCCCAAGTTCTCCCGTCTGCGTCGGGGCCTCAAAGGCGAGGTGGCCAAGGGTCCAGGCCCGGCTGCCCCTGTCCACCGGCGCCTCCAGCTACCTCGGTTGCGTGTTCGAGAAGTGGCTGAAGAGGCCCAGGTAGCAAGGCTGGCTGCAGCTGCTCCTCCCCCTAGGAAGGCCAAGACAGAGGCTGAGGTGGTGGCAGAAGCTCGGTTTACAACCCCTCAGGTGGAGCTGGTTAGGCCCCAACTGCCAGGTGCCGAGGTGGGTGCCCTTCAGGTCTCAGCCCCAAAGGTAGTGCCCTCTGTAGACCTCCATCTGCCAACCCTTGGGTTAGGTGCCCCAGAAGCACCTGCTGTGGAGCCCCCACCCGTTGGGATCCAGGTCCCCCAAGTAGAGCTTCCCTCCTTGCCCTCACTACCCACTCTGCCCACACTGCCTTGCCTGGAGACCCGGGAAGGGGCTGCTGTGGTGACAGTACCCACCCTCGATGTGGCAGCACCCAGTGTGGGTGTGGACCTGGCCTTGCCTGGGAAGGAGAGAGAGGCCCCAGAAGAGGTGCCCGAGGTAGCCTTAAAGATGCCCCGCCTCAGCTTTCCCCACTTTGGGACTCGAGGGAAGGAAGTTGCTGCAGCCAAGGTGACCAAGGAGACCCCTGAGGCTAGGGTGAAGGGCCCCAGACTCCGAATGCCCACCTTTGGGCTTTCTCTCCTGGAGCCCCGGCCCTCTGCCCCTGAAGCTGTTGTTGAGAGCAAACTGAAGCTGCCCACCATCAAGATGCCCTCTTTTGGCATTGGAGCTGTGGGGCCTGAGGTCAAGGTGCCCAAAGGGCCTGAAGTGAAGCTCCCAAAGGTGCCTGAGGTCAAGCTCCCAAAAATGCCTGAGGCAGCCCTTCCAGATGTGCAACTCCAAGAGGTGCAGCTCCCAAAAGTGTCAGAGATGAAGCTCCCAAAGGTGCCTGAAATGGCTGTGCCAGAGGTGCGACTCCCAGAGGTGCAGCTGCCCAAAGTCCCAGACGTGAAAGTTCCTGAGGTGAAGCTGCCGAAGGTGCCCGAGATGGCGGTGCCTGGTGTGCACCTGCCAGAGGTGCAGCTCCCGAAAGTTCCAGAGATGAAGCTGCCAAAGGTGCCCGAGATGGCTGTGCCTGATGTGCACCTGCCAGAGGTACAGCTCCCGAAAGTTCCAGAGATGAAGCTGCCAAAGGTGCCCGAGATGGCGGTGCCTGATGTGCACCTGCCAGAGGTTCAGCTCCCGAAAGTTCCAGAGATGAAACTGCCTGAGATGAAGCTCCCAAAGGTGCCTGAGATGGTGGTGCCTGACGTGCACCTGCCAGAGGTGCAGCTGCCCAAAGTCTCGGAGATGAGGCTCCCAAAGATGCCTGAGATGACTGTGCCCGAGGTTCGCTTGCCTGAGGTGCAGCTGCCCAGAGTCTCGGAGGTGAAACTCCCCAAGGTCCCAGAGATGGCTGTGCCTGAGGTTCGGCTGCCAGAGGTGCAGCTGCCGAAGGTGTCAGAGATGAAAGTCCCCGATGTGAGACTCCCCGAAATGAAGCTCCCAGAGATAAAACTCCCTAAAGTACCCGAGATGGCTGTGCCTGATGTGCACCTCCCCGAGGTGCAGCTACCAAAAGTATCAGAGATTCAGCTACCAGAAATAGCAGTGCCAAAGATCCCAGATGTGCATCTTCCCAAGGTGCCGGAGGTGAAGCTGCTGGCGGCTCCAGAAGCTCAACTAAAAGCTGCTGAGGCAGAGCAGACAGAGGGGACAGAATCTGGCTTCAAGATGCCCAAGATGACCATGCCCAAGTTAGGAAGGGTAGGAACTCTGCCACAAGGCACGCCAGGCGAAGCGGGTGGAGAGGTCTTGGGGAAGTTAGTGACCCTTCCTTGTCTGCAGACAGGGGCAGGTAGCGAGGCTCGTGTGGGCGCCCCCTCTCTCATTCTGCCTTCTGTGGAGCTGGACCTGCCAGGGGCCCTCGGCCTGGAGGGGCAGGTCCATGCAGCTGAAGCAGACAAGGTGGAGAGGCCAGAAGGTGGCATGGGGGCAGCAGGTGTTGGGGAAGCAACCTTTCGAGTGCCCTCGGTTGAGATTGTTACTCCACAGCTGCCCACAGTGGAAGGTGAGGAAGGGCAGATAGAGATGAAAGTCAAGCACTCCTCCAAGTTCTCCTTGCCGAAGTTTGGACTCTCAGGGCCAAAGGTGGCAAAGGCAGAGGCTAAGGGAGCTGGGCGAGCCACCAAGCTGAAGGTGTCCAAGTTTGCCATCTCTCTTCCCAAGGCTCGGGTGGGGACAGAAGCTGAGACCAAAGGGGCAGGGGAAGCAGGCCTGCTGCCAGCCCTTGATCTGTCCATTCCACAGTTCAGCCTGAATACTCATCCGCCCTCGGGTGGAGCTGAGGTGGTGGGGCCTGAAGTTAAGTTCAAGGGACCCAGGTTTGCTCTGCCCAAGTTTGGGGTCCGAGGCCGGGACACTGAGGCAGGAGAACTAGCACTGGGGGCAGCTGAATTGGAGGGCAAAGGCCGGGGCTGGGATGGGAAAGTGAGGATGCCCAAGCTGAAGATGCCATCTTTTGGGCTGGCCCGAGGGAAGGAAGCAGAAGTCCAGGGTGGACGTGTCAGCCCCGGAGAAAAGCTAGAGTCCATAGCTGGGCAGCTGAAGATCCCCGAGGTGGAGTTAGTCACCATGGCAGCCCAGGAGGAAGCGGGCACGGGGGGCGCAGGGGCCACCGGCGGAGTGCAGCTCTCAAGCAGACAAGCCACTGAGGGCCATGATGGGGTGCTGAAAGTGCCTCCACTGGGCATTTCTCTGCCCCAGGTGGAGCTGACCAGCTTTGGGGGGGCAGGTGCCCCAGGCCAGCAGGCTGATCACACTGTGCCTTCTGCAGAGGAGACTGCCAGCTGCAGGGTCCAGGTGCCTCAGGTGAGCCTGTCTCTGCCAGGAAGCCAGGCAGCAGGTGGTGAGCTCCTTGTGGGTGAAGGCATCTTCAAGATGCCCACGGTGACCATGCCCCAGCTTGAGCTGGATGTGGGACTGAGCCAAGATGTACAAGCGGATGAGGTGGCTGTGGGTGAGGGTGGACTGAGGCTGAAGTTACCCACGCTGGGGGCCAGGGCCCAGGCAGAGAGAGCAGAGGACCAGTCCCTGGGGGCTGAGCGCACCTTCCGCCTCTCACTGCCAGATGTGGAGCTGTCACCACCTGCTGTGGGCAGCCACACTGCAGAGTACCAGGTGGCAGAGAGTGATGGGGAGGGGGTAAACAAGCTCAAGGTGCGGCTGCCGCGGTTTGGCTTGGTGCGGGCCAAAGAGGGGACTGAAGAAGGTGAAAAGGCCAAGAGCCCAAAGCTCAAGCTACCCCGAGTGGGCTTTGGCCAAAATGAGTCAGTCCCAGGAGAAGGCTCTCCAAGCCCTGAGGAGGAAGAAGAGGAAGAGGGCACTGGGGAAGGGGCCTCAGGTCACCGGGGCCGTGTCAGGGTCCGCTTGCCCCGTGTGGGCCTGGCAGCCCCTTCAAAGACCTCTCGGGGACAGGGAGGTGAGGTAACCCCCAAATCTCCTGTTGGGGAGAAGTCACCCAAGTTCCGCTTCCCCAGGGTGTCCCTGAGTCCTAAAGCCCGGAGTGGGGACCAAGAAGAGGGTGGCTTCAGAGTTAGGCTGCCCAGTGTGGGGTTTTCAGACACAGGGGCTCCAGGCCCTACCAGGATAGAGGGGGCCCAGGCTGCAGCTGTCTGAAACCCTGAGCAGATGGAGACTCCTCTCCTGACCCCCACCCCGCGCCCCTTTTGTGTGTGAGATTACAAACACTAACCCTCAGAGGGCTGGGAGGTGGGCGGCTGACCAGGGAAGGGGTGGGAGGTCTGCCTTTCTCATTGGCAGGAGTGTCTGTCTGTACCATGCCATGTGAATAAATAATCCAGAGGTAGCCATGTGTCCAGTTTGTGTGTTGTAAGGGTGCAAAAAAAAGTGTCTGTGAGGAGGAGGAGGTTCTAGGTGTCACCTGAGCCAGAGTTGGGCAGGGCAGGGGGAGTGATGTGAAAGAGAAATGGATTTTTGGTCTGAGAAGCAGGCAGGGCCAGTGGTCTTGGGAGAGACCTTGGTGGGTGGGAGGGGCCTGTCCTAGCCCTTCAGATTCCCAGGAGTCTTTGAGGAGGATTTTGGGGGTGCCCAGTATGGCACAGCAGTGGACCTCTCTTCTGGGAGGTCTGCTATCTGGGAGACCCACTCTCCCCAGGATGATTGCTCCCGACTCCAGCCTCTACCAGGGCTCCTGTGTATTCCTTCCTTTCCTTTCCTGTTTGGCTGGTTCTGCAGCTCCATCTCTAGTGGCCCCACCCAGAAAGCTGCTTCCTTAGAGTCAGAAGTCAGGAACTCTAGGCTGCCTCTTAGGACTCTGTCCCAGGTCCTCAGCAGCTGTCTGTGTTGACTCTCAGTTACTGGGGATCACTGGTCCTCTCCTCCCATCCCTAAGACCCTGCTGAGGCCTCTGCACTCCGCCCTGTCTCCCTGAGACAAGAGAAGACGCCCTGCCCGCCACACGTGATGGCGCAGGCACAACTGTAATCCCAGCACTTGGGAGGCTAAAATAAGAGGAGCCTCTGAGTTCAAGACCAGCCTGAGTTACATAGTGCAAAGCCAGCTGGATCTATATAGTGAGACTGTCTCAAAAAACCAAAAAACCCCATGATGTATCGTCCAAGGACCATTTTTGGAAAAGGGCCTTTCCAAAGGACAGAAGGACCTGGGTGCTGAGGGAGCAAGAAGCCTAGATTGCCCACACCTCACTGGGAGTTCCCCTTGCCCTTCTCCCTGACATGTACATACATTTATAGGCCGGGAAGGATTTGAGGCTGGAGCCTCAGTTCCCGTCCTTTGTTCTCTGATGCTTGATCTCTGAAGCTATTTGTTTAAAATGAAATAAAATAAAATAAAATATTAAAAAAATACCCTGAGCTGGGCGTGGTGGCACACACCTGTAAACTCAGCACTCACGGAGGCTGAGGGAGGAGGATTGTTGCAACTTTGAGGCAAGGCAAGTCTGGCCTGAAAAGTGAGCTCAAGGCCAGCCTGAACTGCGTAGTGAGACCATGTCTCAAAAAGACCAAAAATAAATAAATAAATAAAAGGAGGGAGTGCTAGGGATATAGTTCAGGGGCAGACCCAACCTGACTGGCAAGCTCAATTCCCTGAGTTCATTCCCAGTACCAAAAAAAAAAAAGGCGGGGGACAGGGATGTAGCTCAGCAGCTTAAGTACTTGCCTGTGAGTGCAGGGTCATGAGTCTGAACTCTGGTACCAAAAAAAAAAAGATACTGACCAGTTCCGTCTTCCTGCAGTGCCCCACCTGGACTTGAACCCATCCACTCTATCCACACCTGCCCCTGCTATGTGAGGAGATGAGAGCAGAGATCCCCTCTACTCTAGCCAGTGCCCTACTCAGGTCATGGCCCACCCAACACTTTCTGGCTCCCCACCACACAGGCAGGGCTTGTCTGCACTCACGGTGCCCACCGCTGCCAGCCCCCAGCGTGTAACACTTCCTCTATGCTTTGCTAGCCCCTCAGCACCTGCAGGGCCTCTGTGGCTGAGGCCTTGTGGTTTTCTGTCACCTTTGTCTTCACTTCTCAGGGAAACTCTGATCTTCCTGATGCTGACTTTCCCTGCTCCCTGAGCCCTCAGGGATCTTCCCAGGCCCATGGGCTCTCCACACTCTCCCTAGACCAAGTCACCTGCCCTTTGTGACTTCCAGGCCTCAACTAGGCCAGCAGCTCCCACACTCTCTCAGTGGGGCCTGGTGGGCCAGCGGTCTCTGCAGCCTCCTTGGATGTCTTCAAGGCACTAGGAGGTGTGGGAGGTGGGGGTGGTGGTTCCATGCTGGGTTCTAGAGCTGGGTGCAAGCTCAAAGCCTCGCCCAGGAACCCAGTTTCATGATAGTCTTTTACTTTTTTTTATTGTTTTTTAGGGCAGTGCTGGGAGTGGAACCCAAGGTCGCTCACATGCTGGGGAAGTGCCTTACAACGAACTACATTCCCCCACTGTTTTTCTGTTTGTTTTGCAATACTAGGGCTTTTTGTGAACCCAGGGCTTCCTGCATGCTAGGAAAAGTGCTGTAACATTGACCTAAATTTCCGGTTGGTCCCAAACCTTTTTAATTTTTATTTTTGAGACAGAATTTCAGTAAGTTGCTCAGACTGGTTTCACATTTACTGTTCTGCTTTAGCCTCCTGAAGCTGGCTTAGAGACCTGTATGTGCATTTGGCAATCTTAGGCATTTTATTTTATTTTAATTAATTTTTCCTGGGGATTTAGCTGAGCAGCATAAGCACCTGCGTGACAAGTGCAAGGTCGTGAGTTCAATTCGTGGTACCCCTCCCCAAATAAAATAATTTATTTTTGAGACAGAGTCTCACTGGATAGTTCAGACTGCCTTTGAACTATGGAACCTAAACTGGCCTTGAACTCATGGCCATTCTCCTGCCTCAGCCTCAAGAATGCTAGGATTATAGGCATGTGTTACCCAACCTGACTGATTTTAGGCATTTAAAAAACTTCTTTTACCTTGATTTCCCTTCCATAAAACTCCTACTCCATACGTGTTTAAGTGTTTTGATGTTAATTCCCTAATCTTAAGTCAGCATTCTCTCCCCAGAACGAGACAGCTGTGGCTCTTGTCTTAGCTTCTAACTTTCCCCAAAACCTGGCATTCCCATGGCCAGTCCCCCTGATCTTAAAGTGACCCATCCAGCCACCTCCCCCACCCTTCCCCAGTCTCTGTCGCCTAGGCCATGCTTGACTTTCTTTCTTCTTTTGGGGTCCCCACGCTGCCCCTCCAGTGTACCTTCTTCATAAAAAGCTTTCTGATACTCAGATCTGACCATGTTCTTCCTTGCTGTGATCCCTGCTGTGGCTCCCCAGTGCTCTCAGAACAAGGTCCACACTCCTTAGTTTGCATTCAGGACCTTTTACAACCTGGGTCATCTACCCACCACATCTACCGCCTGGCAGCCACAGGCCGGGGCAGGCATTTTACACACACACACACACACACACACACACACACACACACACACACACTTTCCCTTCCTCACTTCCATCCGCTGGTATGTCCCTATTCCCATACCATCCATCTGAGGTCCACTATTAGAGTCCCTCTCTGTTCACCCTTCTCCCCTGCCTGCCTCTTTAGGATTCTACCACTGGGTGGGGGAGGGGCCGTGCCTGGCACCCCTCCCCCCATTCCAGCTGAGGCTCAGGTCTCCAACAACAGAACCAGAGCCACTGGGTGCCACTGGAACCCATTTGGGGTGGCCTGGGCCCCTCGTCCCAAGCCAAAAGGGCTTTGGGGGAGGGGTACAGCCCCTGGCAGACTAACTGTGTGGCTAAGGGGGCTGAGAGGTGCCCGGGAGGTGGGGGCCAACCTCACAGGGAGAGGCGAGAGAGTGGTTCTCTTCCCCCCACTGGGGGGCCCTCGGGGCTGGCCGCAGAGTGGGCGGCCTCGACGACACAGCCTGTGTGTTGGGGGTCGGAGCAGGGCGGTGACTGGTGGCAGGAGCACCATGGCCACCATCCAGTCAGAGACTGACTGTTATGATATCATTGAGGTGCTGGGCAAGGGCACCTTTGGGGAGGTGGCCAAAGGCTGGCGGAGAAGCACCGGTGAGATGGTGGCCATCAAGATCCTGAAGAACGATGCGTACCGTGGCCGCATCATCAAGAATGAGCTGAAGCTGCTGCGCTGCATGCGGGGCCTGGACCCCGAGGAAGCCCACGTCATCCGCTTCCTCGAGTTCTTCCATGATGCCCTCAAGTTCTACCTGGTCTTTGAGCTGCTGGAGCAAAACCTCTTCGAGTTCCAGAAGGAGAATAACTTCGCACCTCTCCCTGCCCGCCACATCCGGACGGTCACCCTGCAGGTGCTCAGGGCCCTGGCAAGGCTCAAGGAGCTAGCCATCATCCATGCCGACCTCAAGCCGGAGAACATCATGCTGGTCGACCAGACGCGCTGCCCCTTCAGGGTCAAGGTGAAGGCGATGCCCAGCCCTCAGTGTTCGTCCCACCTCCTGGCCCTGGGGTCCCCCACCATGCTGCACCCCACCCTACCCTCTCCCATCTCCCACTGCAGAGCTGAGATCTCCTGTCCACTTCCATTCTTGGCTCCTTGGCTCGGTCCTAGCCTCATGGGGCTGGCATTCTACAAGGGAGCTAGAGTCACAAAGCAGGGAGAGGTGACTTGGGAATGGGGAGGAGAGAAGATAGAACCAGTGGAGAAGGTTCTGGGCTGTGGATCAGGCTGGAAGTGGTGATGGGTGAAATTTTAGACATGGTAATCAGGGAGGCCTCACTGAGAAGCTGACATTAGAAAGGGAATCTGGGGGGCTGGGGATTTAGCTCAGCAGCATAAGTACCTGCCTTGCAAGCAGGTGGTCATGAGTTTGATCCCCGGTACTGATAAAAATGAAAAAGACAAAGAAAGGGAATCTCGAGGAAAGAGGCAGCCATCTAGATATGTAAAGGAAGAGCATCCAGGCAGAAGGAACAGCCAGTGCAAAAGCCCTGAGGTGGGGTGTGCCCCAGTGTATGTATTTGAGGAACTTGCAGGAGACCTGTGACTAAGGCTGAGCCCTATGAATGAGGTGCAGAGGGAGAATATGAGATCAAGGAAGTAATGTGGGATGGGTGTGGTAGTGTACTCCTGTAATCCCAGCATTCTGGAGGCTGAGGCAGGAGGATTGCCATGAGAGTTTGAGGCCACTCTGGCCTACATAATGAATTCAAGGCCAGCCTGAACTATATAACAAGAACCTGTCTCAAAATTAAATGAATAGGTTGGTCCGATGGCAGTGGGTTATCAGAACTTATTAACATTAGTGTCCCTAAAGTTGGTATACCACCCCCCCACTGCTAAATTTGACTGGCTTAAAAAAAAATAAATTAAATGAATAAAATAAAATAAAGAGGTGAGGGTGTGGGTTGTGCAGGGTCTTGAGAGGCACAGCAGTGTCTTTAGTTTTTATTATGTGGGAGACAGAGCCACAGACAGATGCTGAGCAGAGGAAGCAGGAATGACATGGTCTGGCTCAGGTATTCACAAGCGGTCTCCGGCTGTGAGAAGAAAGCAGATGGCAGGGGGTGGCCAGGACAGGAGGACACAGAGTTGACCGAGTCTGGGCAGTACTGGGTGGAGCTGCGGATGAGCTCTGGGTGGATTTTGGAGCTAGTGTAGGTGTTGGTGTTGGTGCCGTTACTAAGTGGGAGAGAGACAGGGAGGGCTCCAGGGGCTTAAGAGCCTGTCAGTCTGCAAGTGTGGCACCAGTATTGTCTCTGTCATCTTGTCCATTGACATTTACCGGAGGCCTCTGTGTGCCTCGGCCTGTGCCAGGACACCAGGGCATCTCTGCTCCCCACCCCACCGCTCCTGACCCTCTGCCATCCTAGCTCTGTCCGCATATGGCTTTGTTACTGTCTAGTGATGCCCTAGAGAGCAGGCATGGGTGGGTCTGGGCGCCTCCCAGCTCCCAGCTGGAGTCAGTGCTAAATGATCGTATGGGACACACAGACAGGAAAGGACAGATCCTTCTGCCCTGAGACTTGGAAGGACAGAGACCCAGGAGAGGAGGGACTTTCACACACCCAGCAGGGGACACGCAGCTCAGACCCCCCAGCACCTAGCCAGTGCTGGCACACTGATCCTGTTTGTGGGTGAATGGGCATTGGCCCAGTGCTCAGAGTCACTCAGCACCTCCTGGCTGGACCCCAGCAGGCTGGGCTCAGAGGGAAATGAATAACCATGCATGACACTGCCGTCTGAAACAGAAGTCAAGGAGCTGGACTCAGTGTAAAAACCCTGGGTGGAATCCCCATCACCAAAAAGAAAAAGATAAAGAATGACTAAATGAAAACCAAGGAGGGCTGGGGATACAGCTCAGTGGCACAGCGCCTGCCTGGCAAGCACAAAGTCCTGAGTTCGATTCCTGGTACCAAAAAAAAAAAAAAAAAAAAAAAAAAACGGAAAGAAAACTAAGAAACTCAGAGAGGGAAACCAAGACTTTTACCAAGACTGAGTAAGTCTGGCCAGGCATAGGAATGCCTATAATCCTGTCGCTTGGGAGGCTGAGGCTGAGAGACTGTCATGAGTTTCAGGCCAGCTTAAACTACATAGTGAGTTTCAGATCAGCCTGGACTACACAGAGAAACCCTGTCTCAAAAAATTTAAAAAAAAAGAAAAAAAAATATTGGAGATTCAGCATGCAAATGACAGAGCTACTCAGAGGTGTGGAGAGAGACAAAGGCTTTTACATTCACACTTCTGGCTCACTGTGATCACCCAGCACCAGTCATTTCTAAGGGCCCACACTGTTCATGGCATGAACAGTGCCTGGTGATGAAGTCAGAATCGGGGGTACACGGGGAAGAAAACAGAGGAGACACAGGCATGAGATTCAAGCTGGGAAGAGGCCACTGCAAATAAATACAAGGAGAGTAGAGTAACAGGAATATGAGCCCATCTACCCATCTATCCTTCATCTAGCTACCCAGGCATCTGTCCACCATCCATCCATCCATCCATCCATCCATCCATCCATTCATCTCTCCCTCTATCTGCATCTGTCCATCATCCATCCATCCATCCATCTCTCCCCCATATATCTCTCCCTCTATCTGTCTGTCCATCCAGCCATTCATTCCTTCCTCCCTTCATCACTCCATCCTTCCTGGGCCCCTTGCATTCCAGGTGCTGATTTTTTTTTTTAAACAGGGTCTCACTATGTAATTCAGGCAATCCTTGAAGTCACCGTGTAGCGCAGGGTAGCCTCCAACTCACTGTGATCCTCTTGCCTCCACCTCCCAAGTGCTGGGAGTACAGGCATGTACCATTACACCCAGACACAGGCGTGAACTTGCAGAGACACAGCACTGAACAGATCAGGAAAATCCCTGCCCTACTGGGGAGAAATATGACGATGAAAAGTAAAATATAGCCAGGTGTGGTGACACACACTTGTAATCCTAGTTTTCAGGAGGCCGAGGCAGGAGGATCATTTCGAGTTTGTGTTTGAGGCCAGCCTGGGCTACACAGTGAGTTCAAGACCAGCCTGAACTGCAGAGTGAGACCTTGACTCAAAATAAAACAAAACAAAAAAACAAAATATAATGTGTAAAATAGTGTTAATAATAGTGAGAATCAGAGAGGGATTGCTGTTTTTCACAGGAAGGCCTTGCTGAGGTGACACATGAGTGGAAGGAGAGATGGAGGGAGAGTGTTCCCAAGCAGAGGGAACAGCCCTAAGCAGGGAAGGTGTAGGCGTGTGAGGAATGGAGAGGAGGCCTGTGTGGGGAGAGGATGAGTCAGAGGCAGGTGGAGTGGGAGACAGAGTGAGCAGACTCTGGTCTGTTAGAAGGTGGAGTCCAGCAGGATGTGGTGATTACACCTGTAATCCTAGGACATTGGGAGGCTGAAGCAGGAGAGCTCAGCCTGAGTAATTTGGGAAGATTCTGTTCCAAAAATAATGAAAAATGGGCAGGAGATTTAGTTTAGTGGAGTGACCCTGGGTTTGGTCCCCAGTCCTGAGAAAAAGAAAAAAGAAGATGGAGCCAAACAGGATTAGCTGTTAACTGAGTGGCCGGGAGACAGACAGAGAAAGGCCCCAGCCTCACATACACAAGACCAAGTGGAGAGAATCAGAGAAACAGGAAGCCAGACACAGCCCAGGCTGGAAGACACAGGGACACACCGAGGAGATCAGGAGACAGAGGCCCACAGGCAGAATCAAATGACAGATACCGAAACGTGCCAGGTGAAAGGGGCCAGGTGGCCCAGGTAGGCTGTCCCTACCCATGCACTGCCCATCTGCCCTTGTCTCCACCCCCTGCTCTCCACAGGTGATCGACTTCGGCTCAGCCAGCATTTTCAGTGAGGTGCGCTACGTGAAGGAGCCGTACATTCAGTCCCGCTTCTACCGGGCCCCTGAGATTCTGCTGGGGCTGCCCTTCTGTGAGAAGGTGGATGTGTGGTCCCTGGGCTGCGTCATGGCCGAGCTACACCTGGGCTGGCCCCTCTACCCGGGCAACAATGAGTATGACCAGGTGCGCTACATTTGTGAGACCCAGGGCCTGCCCAAGCCCCACCTGCTGCATGCTGCCCGAAAGGCCCATCACTTCTTCAAGCGAAACCCTCACCCTGATGCCACCAACCCCTGGCAGCTTAAATCCTCGGCTGATTACCTGGCTGAGACCAAGGTAGGGAGTGAGTGGGGCTATGGTAGTCAGGGTGGGGGTTGCTACATCAAGAACAATCTAGTTAGGGAAGAATAGAAGCTTGGGGTCAGCTGTGAGGGTTGTCACAGCAAGAAAATTCTGGGAGTGACCTAAGGTGTGACTGGAACTCTGAGGATCAGCTCTGGGCTGCTGCAGTGATACACATTTGGATGAGACTGCAGGGAGGACCAGAAGTTTGGGGGTCAGAGGTTAAAGGGCTGCTGTAGCAGGAGGGACCTGGGTTTATAGCACAAGCATACCAGTGAGATTTGGGTAGCTTGTCTGCCAGCATCAGCTCTGGCCTTAGCAACTTGTGCAGCAGGGGTGACTTGAGTCAGACCATAGAGGACATAGGTGAGAGTCACGACAGAAAGGGGGATGTGAGTGAGACCCCGGGGAAGACTAGACATTTAGGGCAACCTGCTACCTCTGAGATTGCAGTCAACAAACCTGGGCAGCAAGAGAACCTGGGTTAGGTAGCAGTGGGGATTTTAAGTTTGGGGCCATCTGTAGATACTCACAGCAGGAAGGGTCCAGGTGACACCAAGGTGGGACTGAATGTTTATGGCAGATCCTCTGATAGCTCCATGGTTGGGGGTCATCAAACATATGTAGTAAGAAAGGCCTATGTTTGACCTTTGGGGGCCAGGAGGGCTGGGATAAGGTGTGGAGGCTATACCAGTTAAGAAGGATCTGGATTTGATCCCAGGGACAATTGAAGGTTTTAGGGCAGCCCCCTTGCTAGCCTCTGGTAGAGGCTGGATCCACACATAGGGTGAGGCATGGGGCTTGGGTCAGTGAGGGCTATGGGTTAGGTAACAGGAAGGCCAAACAGCACAGCCAGGCACCCTTCCTGCAGTAGCAGGAAAACTCTGGACTAGATTGGAGAGGGCCAGTGTGTAGGATCAGGTGTGGCCTGCTAGCAGCAAGACCACTGCGTGGTGGATCATAAGCAGAACTGAAAGTGCAGGGTCCTTTGGGGCCCCAGGGCAGAAGCATGTGGTGCTCAGGATGTGGACACATTGCCACCTGGTGGTGCCCACCCATATCTTTCTAGGTGCGTCCACTGGAGCGCCGGAAGTACATGCTCAAGTCCTTGGACCAGATTGAGACGGTGAACTGCGGTGGGGCTGCGGGCCGGCTGAGCTTCCCAGACCGAGAGGCACTGGCGGAGCTTGCTGACCTCAAGAGCATGGTGGAGCTGATCAAGCGCATGCTGACGTGGGAGTCACATGAGCGCATCAGCCCCAGCGCAGCCCTGCGCCACCCCTTTGTGACCATGCAGCAGCTACGCACCACCCACGAGGGCACCCGCTACTACCAGCTGTCACTTCGGGGCTGCCGCCAGTCACTGCAGGTGGAGGGCAAGCCACCCCCGTCTGCGGCAGCCAGTGCTGAAGATGGACCGCCCTACTACCGTCTGGCTGAGGAAGAGGACACCGCTGTGGGCAGAGGTGGAGTGGCAAATGGCGTGTCCTTCTTTCGGGATGAGAAGGCACCAGGCGTGCAAAGGGCCATCGACCAGCTGGATGATCTGAGCCTTCAGGAGGCTGGGTGTGGGCTGTGGGGTGAGGTCCAGGCTGACATGGTCTCCGACATGCTAACCCCACTCAAGGCAGCCTCCACCAGCTGCCGGCTCCCCAGCTCTGGCCCAGAGCCCATCCTGGCCTTCTATGGTAGCCGCCTGACAGGCCGCCACAAGACCCGAAAGCTGCCTTCAGGCTCCAAGTCTGACTCCAACTTCAGCAACCTCATCCGGCTGAGTCAGGCCTCGCCAGAGGATGACAGGCCCTGCCGGGGCAGCGGCTGGGAGGAAGGAGAATGCCAAGGGGCCTCTGCCGAGCCACCTGCCATCCCACAGCGGGAGGGCGATGGGCCCAGCATCAAGGACATGGCCATGGATGAGGAGGTAAAGCAGTTGGGTGGGCGCGTGGTCGGTCAGGGCTTCCCCGAGAGCTTGCTCCAGGGTGGGAAGTGGATAACCAGGCCTCACTCCCACACATCTGCATGTGTGCAGCCGGTGTCTGGTCCAGAACACCTTAGCCCATATTCAGGAAAGAGGGTTTGGCCAATACCAGTCCACCCCCACTAGGTGATTAGGCCTGGGACGAGCAACTTTCAGAACAGTGCGAACTGAGCCTTTGGAATCTGCCTTCACCTGAGCCCTGGGGGAGGTCTCATGCCAGCTCCGGTTTCAGGAGGACATGCGCCGGAAGACCAGCACGAACTTCCTTGTTGACGCCCCTCTTCTCCTCCTCTCACAGAGGTCAGGCCCTGAGCTCTTCAACCCTAACTGCCGTCCTGGAGAATGGCTAAGCGAGGCCGACTGGAGCCTGGAGGGCATCAGGGGCCTGCGGGCTCAGGGGGTCCCTGCCCGCCACCTCCACCCACATGCTCCACCCCGGGGCACCAGCTTTCTGCAGCACGTCAGTGGGCACCACTGATGGCGATCACACCCACATCCCCCATGACTGGGGGCTGCGCTGATTGGGTTGGCATCCCTTCTCATCCTGAACTGCTCCTTAGGGCTGTCCCCCTGAACCCACAAATTATTCTTACAGAAAGATAGTTATCCAGAACGTCCCCTGCCCCCAGCGCATGCCCACTCATACTCCCAGGATAGAGGAGCCCCTTGAGGTCCGGCCCATGGACCCCTTGGCTGCATCCGCTGGCCCGAGCTTGCCTTGTCCTGCTATTTCCGCCTATTTCAATAAAGAACTGTTCAGCAGCCCTGCCTCTTGCTTTGCCTCACTGCTTCAGGTCTGGTCTGACCCAGGGAATGGGCACCAGACTGGCATCCAGGGCCTGGCTCTGCCATGCTCCACCCAACTGGCCACTGGTTCAGGCTAGGGGCTGGGCTATATGGCACTGGGAGGGAGAGGCTGTGCTTGGCCCACAAACCCATCCCCTATGTATGCTAAATGCTTGCAAATCCACCCCCAGATCATTTGTGTTTGCCAAATGCTGAAGTCATACTATCAGAGATCCTTCCTTAATGTTACAGGCTAGACATGCACTTGCCCATGCCTGGGACATGCTAAGTGTGAGTTCACCTGGCAGATATAAATGCATGTTAGGTACACACTCCAGGGTTCAGACATGCTGATCCATCCCTGGGATATGGCCATGTCCAATCCATGCTGGTCACCTGGAACATGCTTGGTGTGTGGCACATGCTACCTACCCCGTGCTGGCTACACTCGTGCTCAGCCTGGGCCAGCCCACATGGTTGCACACTGCATGCTTAGCACACACCAAACCGCACTAGTCACACGCCAAGGGCTCAGCACCTACCCAATGCCCCATCTCTTACCACTCAGGCACGGGCTGCACAGACTATTATTTACTTATTATAACGTTGGGCCCTCTTTGCCCTAGAAAGGGGGGTGGGCCAGGAGTCCAGGCCCAGCATGCATCCCCCACTTCTTTGGGAGCCGATCCCTCCCCCAGCTCTGCTAGGTCCCGGGGCCATAGCGTCAGGCCGGTGGGGTGGAGGTAGAGGTGGGAGCGCAGGGGAGAGCCTTAGAGAGCCACAAGGGGGCAGACAGAAGCAGGGGCACAGGGACAGGGGCCGGGACCCTATCTGGGTCCATGGGCCTCACAGGCCTTGGCCTGTCTTCTGGATTGGGTCTCAGAGCAGCCGACAGGCATTGCCCACACTGTCAGGAGAGGCGTCAAGGTCGTAGCTATATGGAGAGTACCAGTCCCTCAGGAAAACCGCCTCTAGCTGGCTGCGCAGGCCACCACGCCCGTTCTGTGTCACCAGCAGCGAGGTACCTGCCGTCTCAGTGAAGTAGTTGCCGGACCAGTTGGAGGTCCCTAGGAGACAGAGAATGACGGTCCGGTGGGGCTGGCCAGGCTCTAGTGCCTGGACCCTCCCTGCTTTTGTTCCTTGGAACACTTACCGATGTAGGTGGCACGTTCGGTCACCATGTACTTGTTGTGGTTGACACGGGCGTATGGGATTCGGGCCTGGGCCTCATCCGCAGGGACCACAAAGAGTTTCTGCCAAAGAGGGAGAGTGGCAAGGAGAGCAAGATGCAGCTGGGGGTGTGACCAGCTCCGAGGGCTGGGGCGCCCTCAGTAAGCCTGACAGAGGCGAAGACCTTGTCACTCCTATTGCAAACTTGCCCCTCTCTAGAATGGCTCCTATTCATCCCTTACATGTCTCCTTTTCAGGAAGTCTTCCTTGACCCCTCAGGCCAAGACAGGGCCTTGCTTTGTGCCTCCCCGTTCCATCCCCAATCTCTGCCTGCACCTCCCTGTCCTGGCTGCCGTTCCTCATCAAGGCAGGGCTCGCTGGGGATCTTGTTAAATGACACTGGAGCTCCATGCAGGCTGTGTCCCCAGCAATGCTTACCACCTGGATATCGATGTGACTGTGGTTGTCACGCAGGGCAGCCAAGGAGAGCAGGAAGGAGCGCATGGATGGCTCAGAGTGTCCCCAGCAGCTGATCAGCAGGCGCACCTTGACACCCCGCTCATAGGCCGCCCGTCGCAGCCCATTATCGATGGAAGGCCAGAACCTGGGAGTGATGCGGACAGTGTATGCAGGAGGGCAGCTGCATCCCCAGGCTTTGTTCAGATCTGGGGAGCCAAGCCTGGCCCCTGTGTTAACTTCTGAGCCCCTAACCTCAGAAATACTCCAAGTCCCTCCTCCTGCTCCTGAAGGTTCCTCATTTCTGGTTCCTGTTGCATCCTGTCCTGCAAATCCAAGTCCTCCCTTTTTTGGTGGTACTAGGGATTAAACCCAGGGCCTTCTCACTGAGCTATATCCCTAGCCTTTTATTTTTTATTTTGAGACCGGTCTTATAAGGTGCCCAGGCTGGTCTCCAGCTTGTGACCCTCCTGCTTCAGCCTCCCAGTGTGCTGAGATTACAGGCAGGTGCCACTCTTTTTGATTCATTACCGACTCCACACTGCCTTCTTCAATGATCTCACCCAATCATCTCCCTTCTTACCTCTGATCACAAATCCAACCCTGCTTTTCCAGCCCTGGAGCCCCAGTCCTTTCCCAAACTCTTCACCCATTTCTATCTTATCTCTTAACTTCCCGAATACCACACTCTACGCTCTCTATTTTAGGTCTCTAGCTCCCCCTTCCCCAAACCCCAATATTATCATTCTTTTTTTTTTTTTTTTGGTATTTTTAAAAAAATCGGGGGCTGGAGATTTAGCTCAGCAGCATAAGCGCCTGCTTTGCAAGCAGGCAGTCGTGAGTTCCATCCTCGGTACCGATAAAAAGGGAAAAAAAAAAAAAATCATCCTTTTCTTCATTACCTCCAAGCTCCCCCAACTCCCCCATCATGCTTGCTTCTCCTACCTCAAACATCCACACCTCCTCCCTGTCACCTCTCCATGGCTTCCAGTGTCTGTCCCTTGCTTTGGCCTCCCTGGCTGCTCTCAGAGCCCTGTCACCCCCCTCTATGTGCAGGAGCTCCTCATCTGTACAGATATCTGTACCTGCGTGGGTGGGAGAACTCCATGGTGGGCAGGTAGTTCATGACGGCGATGTAGATAAAGCTCCGGGCGTTGTCCACCACATTGAGCAGGGCCTTCAGGTCAGGGGTTCGACCACTGGGACACAGCGGTGGGGGCGCACTCTGGAGGGAAAGGAGCAGTCAAGTCCCCTGCCAGGGCCACTTTTAGCAGATGATGTATGACAGCTCACCAAGAGCCAAATCCAGTGGATTTCCCTTAATCCTCAGCCTCCATGACAGGAAGAGGTAACCACAATATCTACCTTGCAGGTGAGGGAGGTTACAGGTTCAGAGAGGGCAGGCGACTTGTTGAACCCAGGCTGACTCCAGATTTTTTATTTTTTCTTAGTAATGCCTGACAGGAGGGCTGGGAGGTCAGTGCCTCAGGATTGGGTGTATGCAATAACCAGAGGGATTATGGGATGACTCAGAGGGCGGCAGTGACCTTATGATAATGAGAATCTTTTTTTTTAAAATTTCTTTTTTTTGTCTTTTTTGTTTTTATCGGTACCAGGGATCAAACTCATGACTGCCTGCTTGCAAGGCAGGTGCTTATGCCATTGAGCTAAATCCCCAGCCCCTGATAATGAGAATCTTTATGTTGATCAGGATGGTAGGGAGAGATGGCAGGTGAAGGAGTTTGCACTTTCCCTAAGGTGAAACCTTATTTTTACAACTACTGGGTTCTCAAGGCTGATTCCAGAATTTACACTGACTGGTTACTGACCCAGCAGCAAGAAAATATCACTTGGAAACTTGTTAGAAGTGCAAACTCTTTGTGCCTACTGTGCAAAACATTCTAAAGCAGAATGTTGGGGTGGAGCTCAGGTCTGTTTCTTTTGTTTATTTTTGAGACAGGGCCACCCCGTATAATAGTCCAAATTGGCCTTAAACTCACGATGTAGCCCAGGCTGCCCTCAATCTCATGGCTGTTTCAGCCTCCCAAATGCTCATCATGTCCAACCACGCCCTGCCATTTGTTTTTCTGTAGTTTTAGATTGAACTAAGGGGCTCTGCACTGAGCTATACCCTCAGCCCTTTTTAAATTTTTATTTTGAAGTGGGGTCTTCCTGAATTTCTCAGTTGCCCAGACAGGCTGAAATTTGCTATCCTCCTGCTTCAGCCTCCAGTGTGCTGGGATTACCTGGCCTACCCACGGCAGATCCTGAGCACTCTTAGACAAGTGCTGCCACCTGGCTACTGAGCTCTAGAAATGTGACTAGTGCAACTGAGGAGCTGACTAGTTCATCATATTAATTTTATTTATTTATTTACTTTTTGGTACCAGGATCGAACTAACAACCTTGTGCTTGCTAGGTAGATGCTTACACCGCTAAATCCCTGACCCTTAATTAATTTATTTTAAACATTTCTTGATTTTTGGTTTTTTGAGACAGGGTCATGCTATGTAGCCCAGGCTGGCCTGGAACTTGTACTGATCTTCCTGGCTCAGCTTCTCCTCCCCACTCCCTCTGTGGGATTACAGGTGTATGCTACCTTGCCCAGCTAATTTGAATTAATTTAAATGTCGAGAACTGCCTGTGGACAGCACCAAGGGCTTGGGGCGCATGAACTCTCCTGCTCGAAGATTAGGGTACCATTTTCAGATGGAATTGAGGCCTTGGGAGGGTGAGACACAGCCTAGGCTTCGGGGGCCATAGTGCATGTATAGCAAGGCCACTGCTCCTACACTCACCGCCAGGTACGCCAGAGCGGGGGTCCCATTGAGGCAGATCTCCATAGGTGTCTCTTGATTGTAGCGGGTGTCATAAGGCCGGGGCCAGGTTGACGGGATGGAGCTCCCGGCCTGGCCCAGGTACCAGTAGGCCTCAAAGATCTTGGTAAGGTCCCGAGCCAGGCAGCTGCAGTTGTACATGACCACACCCAGCTCCTTGACCTGCAGAAGGGCAGAGCTGAGTCTGGTGCTCACAGAGGACAGCGACACGGCCAGCTCAGTCTCTCTATCCCTTGGTC